ATTCAGATCAGATCAGATCAGATCAGAAAAGTTCAAACATGATTTATCACTTTTATTATTATATTAATTATTATTATTAATATTGTTATTACTATTATGATTATTATTATATAATTATTATTAATAATATTAAGAATAATATGATAAAAAAATAAGATATTAATATAGTTATAATATTTTAATATAATAACAGTAATATAAATGCAATTATTAAGAAAACTATTATTATTATTACAATATAATAATAATAATAATATGATTAATATTATTATAATATTATATTGTAATTATATGTAATTATAATTATACTTACAATTATAATTCTTATAATTATAAGTATATCAATTGTAATTATTATAATTATATCTATAATTAATTATAATTATAATTGTAATTAACTATAATTACAATCAGAATTATAATTATGATTATAATTATAATTATAATATAATATTATAATAATATAATACTAATAATAATAATATTATTATTATTATGTTATTTTAATAATAATATTAATATAATAATATCGTTATAATAATATTAATTGTATTTATATTCCTATTATTATATTATAATATTATAATTAATGTTAATATAATTATAATTATTATTAATTATAAATATACTTATAATTATATTATAGTTATAATTTATGATTATAATTATTATTTTATTATAATTATTAATATTATTATTATTGTTACTATTGTAATTATTTTACGGAGTAATTATAATAATATTGATAACTATAGTTACAATTATAGAGATAAATATTGTAATTATAATTACAATTATAATTATATAAGTAATTATAATTAAAAGTATAATTAAAATTATAATTATATCTATATTTATAATTAGTGTAATATGTATAAATTTTTTCATTTTAAATTTAATTTTAATTATTATTATTATTTTTATAGTTACGATTATAATTATAATTTTATTTAAGTTATATTTGTAATTGCAATTATAATAATTATAATTATAATTATAATCATAGAAATATTCAAATCAGATCAGATCAGAAAGATTCAGATCAGATCAGAAGGATTCAGATCAGATCAGAAACATTCAGATCAGATCAGACCAGATCAGAAACATTCAGATCAGATCAGATCAGATCAGAAAGATTCAGATCAGATCAGATCAGAAAGATTCAGATCAGATCAGATCAGAAAAATTCAGATCAGATCAGATCAGAACTTAAAAAATTCAGATCAGAAACATTCAGATCAGGCGAAGAGAACAGCTTCTCAGTCTTACCAATCAGCTTTTTGAGAAAACATGTATGCAGTAGTTATTTACTTCGAGCGATGATGTCTGTAATAATCAAATTAAGTAAAATTAGAGTCATTTTTTGGTTAAATTGATTAAGGTATCGTAGAAGACCATTTTAAATATTTTTCATATAATTTTTTCGTAGTTTTATAAATAAAATATTTTTAAAAGTATTTTTAATCTTTTTATAATTCAATATATTCAACCATTTTTTAAACACAAATTTCAATAAATTTAACGGTTTCTATCGATTTGAAAATAGTCACGGTCATAGTCACGGTCCTGACCGTGACTATTTCGGTCAGCGGCGGCTCTGACCGTCAGGCCTGCGGCGACATTTACGAAGAGTTTAGTCACGGTCAAGACCGTGACTATGACCGTGACTAATACATTATATAAAATAGCCCCTTAGCGAATTTTTTAAAACCCTACGCACCCCATATTTCCCAAACCCAATACTACCTCTTCCTTCTCTCTTCCTTCTCTTCCAGTTCGGATTAAGCCGCCGCCTAGCCGTCCGCCGTCGACCACAATCAGCCGGCCGCCGTCGTCCGCCACCTTCCGTCGCCCCCCCTTCTTTTCTCAATCAAGGTTATGTGTTCTTTTCATCTTTTTTTCTAATATTTAATTAAAATTCAAAAAACGCATGATACTATACTCATCAAACGCATGATACTATACTCAAATGCATGATAAGGTACATCATTGTTAGTTTCATGTCATTTTGAGATGTTCAAAAGTTGTATGTATGATTTATTATATGCATGATTTGTAGTTTTGCATGATAATTTCGTTTTATATGTTTAATATGCATGATTCATATGTTTTGTATGCATGATAATTATGTTTAGATGATTTCGATTATTATATGTTTAATATATTCTTATGCATGATTAAACTACTTAATACACTGTTTTTCGAACTTATGCATGTTTATAAAATTAGTTTAATGTTAAATATATATGTCTAGTGTTTGATATGCATGCCTCTCTATAGTTATACAATGTTTATGGTTTTCATGTTTTATTTCGAAATATTTAAAAAAATTGCCCCCTCATGTTAAGCTTTCACAAGCTTAACATGTTTAATTATTATTTTACAAATTTTAAAATACACATAAAAAAGTATACTGTTTTTTTATAAGCACTTTTTATAAGTACAAAAAGTAATAATTGAAAACACTGTTTTTGTAATTATTGAAACAGTTCATTAAAAAAACTGATTTTAATTGAAAACAGTTTTTAAGTATGAAACAGTTCATTAATAAAAAACTGTTTTTAATAAACTGGATAAACCATATTTTTTCGAAATTGATTTTTTATAAAAAGTATAAAAACTGATTTTTATAAAACAGTTTTCATTGCATAAATGGTAAAGTGCTTTTTTTAAAAAGCAGTTTTATAAAAACAGTTTTATAAAAACAGATTTTGGTTTACAGTTTTATAAACTGTTTTAAATAAACTGTTTTTGTAAAAACAGATATGTAAAAACTGATTTTATAATTATTTAAAAAAGAACAAACCAGTTTTTTTAAATCTGGATATAAGCAGTTGAAAAAAAACTGTTTTGACAAAAACTGGATATTAAAAACTAATTATTATACAGATTTTTGTAAAAAACAGTTTTTTGTGTAAAAACTGATTAATTAACATATTTGTTAAAAACTGTTCAATAGAAAAAGTGTTAAATAAACAGTTTTTATAAAAAGTGTTTATATTAAACAGTTTTTATAAAAAGTGTTTATATTAAACAGTTTTTATAAAAACTGTTTAATAAATAAAACAGTTTATAGAAAACAGTTTTTATAAAAACAGATTTTGTAAAAACTGTTTAATAAATAAAACAGTTTATAGAAAACAGTTTTTATAAAAACAGATTTTGTAAAAACTGTTTTTATAAAAACTGTTTTAAATGAAAATTTGGTTTACTTAAAAACTGTTTTGACAAAAAACTGTTTTATATAATCTTTTTTTGTAATTTAATTAAAAAGGTATAAACTCAAAGTATACTGTTTTTCTACAAAACAGTTTTTATAAAAACTGTTTTTTATTTAAAAAGTACATAAATAACTTTTTGTATAAACTGTTTTTTAAAAAAAAGTATACTGTTTTTATAATTTTGTAAAAGTGTTTATAAAAATTGTATAAAACTCATGTATCTAAAACAAAAAAAAATATGGCCTCTCATGTAAACTTTGCAAAAAGTTTAACATGTTACTTACAATTGTAAATGTGTATAAACTGATAAAAAGATGGCCTCTCATATAAACTGATATATCTAAAACATAAAAAAATGATCTCCTCTCATGTAAACTTTACAAAAAGTTTAACATGTTACTTCCAAGGGCAATTTATTACCAAATTATAGAAGAATTTATTATGAAAAAATATGGATCAATAATTGTGTATAAATTTAATAAACTGTGTATAAGTTTAATAAGAGTGGTTCAATAATTTCTAATAAACTCATCCTATAATTTATCAATGAGTTGACCCAGTCGATCGAAGAATCGATCAGTTGGAGCTTGTTAATGAGTTGACCTAGTCAATTCTTAGATAAGCTCCAATCTGTGGATTCTTCTGGCTACGGCTTGAGTCATCGATGGACTCTCCCAAACGCATGTACTGACATTATGTCGCTACATGTGATGTAGCCCATCCATGGTTCAAGGCGTAGCCTGAAGAATCGTCAGGATGGAGTTTATCAATGAATTGACTAGGTCAACTCATTGATGAGCTCCAACCGGTTGATTCTTCGGTCGACTGTGTCAACTCATTAATAATTATAGGATTTGTTTATTAGCAATTATTGGAACCTCATATTAAACTTATACCTAGTTAAATATGTTATATACATTGACAATTGACAATACTTACATAAAAATTTGATCTTCTATTATAAGCGTTCTAACAAAAAACAAAATAAATTAATATATTTTAGATGAGCAACGAACAATCGACCTCGGCTCCCCGCCCTAACTATGCGCCCATGTCCGAAGCGGAGCGCAACAACGAGGGAGCTGTTTGGGTGACCCCTGGAGATGTTGCTTTGTAAGTAGTTATGATAAAACCTTATTTTCAATAATTTTAAATAATGTTAAATAATCTAACCAAATGTTATATAAATAAATACTATTAATTTTTTAAGTGACGAACAAGTGTTCAAAGGCATCAAAAGCATAATCGGAGGACACTTTCTTGGCACTTGGGCCACGTACTCGGATGTTGACCCCAAGGTTCGCGAACTATGGTGGAACCTGTTCAAGGTAAAAATAAATGAATGTTCCCTCCCTTATTGTATTGGCCTAATATATACCTAGTGATTAATTAATTCAATTTGTTTTAATAAAGGCTCGCTATCGTTGGACTCACGCAAACGGTCCCGATATTCTTAGAGCCTTCAATGCTAGGATTTCGACCTGGCTTCGCGCCACTTTTAAGCGTGCCCGGAAAAGTGCGAAAAAGCCTAAATGGGTTTCGGATGAAGTGTGGTCCAACCTTTGTCGCCACTGGTCTTCTGATCCGAAATTCTTGGCCAGAAGTGAATCCGGTAAGAAAAACCGGATGTCCGAGAAGGCCTTGGAGATGCAGTGGCACGGAGGTCGCAAATCTCAGAATGCCCATAAAGAAACTCTTGTAAGTGCTATTCAAAAAACCTTACACCATCACAGTCCTTCATTATAAAAAATTTACTTAAGTCTTTTTCACACCATTTAGGCTGGTCCCGAGAAGAAGAGGGTTGATGTTCTCCGGCTCGTCAAGCATTGCTGGACGAAGCACGGCGAGGAATCTGAAGCCGATCTGCCACCCCGCCTCGCTGACTTCGAAGTATGTAACATCATATGTTGTTATTTAGTAACATTTCAAATCTAACCATGTAGCATTTAAAAAATATTTTTTAAAAATGCAGACGAAGTACAACGAATCCGTTGACAGGCAGCGTGCGGCACGAGGCTTGACCCAGGAGGACGACCTCGATTCCGATGCGGATGATGAGGCGGCCATTGAGGCGGCCGGGGTTTACAAGGGCCGGGTTCCGTGCTTGGGGGCCGAGGGGCAACGGATTTTGTATGATCGAAGCACCGGCGCTTCCTCTTCTCGGTCAAGGCGGGGAGAAGATCCCCGTATTGCTACGATGCAGCGTGAACTAGAGGAGCATGAACGACGATGGGAGGAGCAGCGGAAAGCAGATGCTGCCACAAAAGCCCGGTTGGAGGAGATGGAACGGTACATGCGTGCCGGATTCCAGCCTCCGCAACAGCCTTTTCCTCCCCCGTACGTATTCCACCCTGAGCAAACTCCTCAAGTTCCGCACATGGGCAGTATGGGATTTTTCCCCAACTCCGGATATGGTGGCATGCCTATGATCTCCCCGAATTTCGGTTCTATGTCCTTTGATTTTGCGAGGTCATCCGGAGGAGGTAGTGGCACACCGAGCCACGGAGGCCGAGGAGCACCCCGAGGAGGAACCCGACCTGACCCTGAAGACCCCCCCGTGAACCCAGATGAGTTTCTTGTTGATGATGAAGATGAAGAAGAAGAAGAAAATCCAGATTTTTTTCATAATGGAGTCCCACGAAGGGACATGTAATCATCATACATTTGTACTTTGTTGTTTGTCAAAACATTTAAAAGTTTGTCACAATATTTATTAAGTTTGTTGTATGTCTTTACTCTTTAAAATGTAATTTTAAATTTAAAAAATTAGAATAATATTTTCAATAACTCAATAGTATAAAAACATGGATAAAAATTAGAATAACATTTTTAAATTTAATTTGTAAAAATACGTGTTAAAAAGTAATTTTTAAAAACAACTTTCATAAAAAAATGGAAATTTTTTTTTTACAAAACAAAAATAGTAGTCACGGTCATATCCGTGACTACAGTTAATTCGAAATTATTATTTGTTTTTAATAAAAAAATTATTTTTTTTTAAAAAAAATTTAGTCACGGTCGACAACCGTGACTAATTTCAAAATTTTAGATTACACCCGCGGGCGGTCTTTTGAAAATTTTGAAAATTTTAAAACTTAGTCACGGCCCACAGCCGTGACTAATATTTATTTTAAAAAAAAAATATAGTCACGGTCACAAGCCGTGACTAACATGTCGGAGTGGGGTTTCCGGCATCAAATTAGTCACGGTCAACGACCGTGACTAATCCGTGACTAAATGTAGTCACGGTTATGTGGCGGTGACTTCATTTAGTCACGCCAATTAAGACACGGAATTAGTCACGGCGGATGACCGTGACTAAACTTTTTAGTCACGGAAATTTTAAACTGCAGTCCGTGACTAAATCCGTGACTACGCCCGTGTTTTTTTGTAGTGCTTGCTTGTTGGGCTAGATATTCATACACACTCCACTCGAAATCCTTGGGCTTACGTGTTAGACCCGAGGGTTGAAGGAATAAACCTCAACAGTAATTTTAATTTATTTCATACTCGAATGATGTTTTTATCGAGCAAATTTCAATTGAGGCTAGACAATAATAAAACTAAAAAATGTTTTTTAGACAATACTCCGTAATAAAATACACATACATAAAGTGTAGAGCATCTCGATTGCATTCAAGTCTAGTCTAGTTCAAATAAAGTGTGCCATATAATCAATTTTAACATTGTTAATTTAATTTCCTCTCCAATGCATGTAGTCCTCCATTCAATTTTGATGATTTGGCAACAAACAAAAAAATAGACACCATCAAGTTAAATGTTCGGGTGTAAGGCCTTGCTGTTTTAAAAATTCATTTGAACGAAAAATTTAATTGTCACACTAATACATTCAATGACACTAATACTTTCAATGACGGTAGTGACAATGACATAAAAGAATTGTGTGGTTTTTTAGAAAAACAAAATTATTTAGTTGATAATGAATTGATGAAGTAGAATAAAATAAGAATGAATCAGAATCACACAAATATACCAATATGATATGAGATAATTATAGAGGGGCATTCAAAAATGAAAAAAATGAGACAATTATAGGAGATAGAGAGAGTATCTGACCACGAATATGATATACTCCATCCATCTCAATTTACTTGTCATACTTTCCGTTTTGGATTGTTCAAAATACAGAGTAAGGGTCTTCTCTCCTTTTTTGAAAAGAAATATGTGACATATACTACTTTACATTATTATACTCAAATCTCAATCACAATTTTTATTTTTTCGAACACTTCATTAATAATCGTGTCAAGTCAAAGTGAGACACATAAGATGAGACAGATGTAGTAATAAAATAATAAACTCATAATTACATTCATAATTTAAGCTAAGGGAGGTTTTTTATGGCGGCCATGAATATGATCTAGAGGGGGCAAAGCCTAATTTTTTTATGGTGGCCAAAACTTAATACGGAGTATATAAACATCTATTTAAATCTTATGCATATTTGTAGATATACTCCGTATTATATATATATGTACTAGGAAAACATATTGGGGCCATATAGTACTTTGTCACAAATATAGAATGTTCAAAGAATATGAATACTACTTTGATATTAGGAAAAAAAAGTTGTAAAAACAAATACACACGTTTTCTAAATGTGAAGAATAGTGTGGTTAGCCACAGGTTAGGGAGAGGAAGCGTACGCTAAAAGTGTGGTGATGGGAAAAGGGCTCGTGCGTGGCACAAAAAGAAGCGTGTCTCATACTCGACTGCTCGTGGGGAGCTGTGTGTGTTTAAGACAAAAAAAAAAAGTACAGTCACGAGTCAAATAAGCTGCGTTCTCTTGCAGCCTTGCCCCCCTGCCGGCTCTCTTTACACTTTTCTGTATTCACGATAATCATTGTAAACTGTTACTACAATGATACGATAGTGATATTGTAGTTTTTGGAAGAGTATAAGTGTATAAGTGCAATGTTTTTGGCAAACATATATGTTTGGTCCAAGGTAATCATCTATGCAGGTCGGAATCTTATGCCCGGAATATGAAATATCTGTGTTTGATTCGTAGGTTTATTTTTATGGGAGGAATGTCACATTCCAAAAAAGAAGAGAAAGTAATAGGATATCCCCCATCTCAAACCCACTCAACTCTTAGATTATCTTACATTCCTTGGTGAGAGTGAATTTTAACCAAAATGGTTTAAATAGCATACAAAGTATTTATTTTTTATTTCTCTTAACCTATCCGCATTGGAATTTTTTAAAACAAACCCATCCGTATTGGATTAAGAAATACAAAATGTATACTTTTGAATTTGATTTATTAAAAATTAATGAATAAATTCCATATTTATGACTAAAATAAAGATTGTTTACAAAAATGTGAGTATTGATTTAATCACTACTGATTAAATTACAGCAGTAATTTAATCATAATAACTTATATTGAACTTTTAAACTTAAATGATCATGATAACTTAATATAAGAGGAGGTGGTGTTATTATTAAGAAAAAAGGAGTTAATGTGGTTGATAGTGAATAATAAATTTAGAATAAAGTAAGAATGATTTAGAAGCTAAGGATCAAACATTTATTTTTTTCACCAGTGGTTGATAGTGAATTACCTTTAGTAGGAGTAACATATAACATGCAACTTTTCCTTAAATAGGAGTCAATATTTAATATTTCCTAAGTAGGATCAACCATTAATTTTCTACCCCTAATCTAAGTAATTAATTGCCCCCTAAGTCCATGAATAATCAGGTCATTCTATTGGTGACATGTGGTCCATTGATTTTTTGATCGATGAAAAATGTAGGCTCCTATCGATGAAGACATTCTTTCTCGGGACCCTGATGGTTGTAATAAAGGTATTACGAGAAAATATTTTTTAGGGCATTGAAGTAATTCACCATGTTTGTTGTATAATATATGAATTAACCAAACAAGTTAATGTCACATTCCTTTAGTCTCAACCAAACACAAATGAGTACAAATTGAATACATTCTCATCAATCTAACATACCCAGCAATCTGACATTCCCATGATAATCTGACATTCCTTCAACCAAACATACCCTATAAGTATAAGTGGGAGTTTGGGGGAAGAGGAAGGGAATGAATTGAAGGTAAGTTGTTGGAGGAGATTGTGGGGAAACTATCTTCTTATTTGAAAGTAGTAAATTTAGGGGACAAAGAGTCTTTGAAACAATTATAATTAAAATTACTCTTCTTCTAGAAACTTTTTTTAATTACTAAAACACCATTTTGGGATCGTGCGTTTTGTGTAAGGTGTGACAATCTCTCAATATAATTTGAGTAAAAATAGGGTTAAGTATGTTGCATTCTGAAAATAGATCTTATTTCATCTTATTAACATAAATAAAAAATAAATATATATATCAGTAGGTCATATTTTAATGGGATTTTTCCTTAAATGTTACTGATAAAAAAGTCAAGCAAAAAAGTGACTTAGTAACTATTAGTGACTATAATTGTGTTCAAAGTTTACGTCACAATAACTTGCATTTAGTTACTACGATATTAATTTTGTAATTGTAGCCATCAAAGATACTAAGTAATATTTTTGTTCATCACATTTTTTAAAGATTTGATATAAATTAGTTATATAATTGTAGCCATTAGTTACTGCGATATAAATTATTTGATATACATTTTGAAAAATTTGAAGTCACTCCGTCCCATTTATATTGTCCCGGAAGAGGGTGCCACAATTATTAAGAAAAGTGAGTTTGTGTGGTTGATATTAATTGATAAAGTAAGAATAAAGTAAGAATGATTTAAAGTCACACAAACTTTGCCAAATATGGTATGGGACAATTTAAGTGGGACTTCCCAAAAAGGTAAAACGGGATAATCACTAGTGGAAAAATAGTGATTAGAGGCGCTTCAAATTGGTCATTAGAAGCGCTTCGAAGCGCCTCTAGTTTTTGTGTCGCAATTGTCGTTTAGAGGCGCTTTTTGCACCAAAAGCGCCTCTGTAAACAATTATTAATTATTGGCGTGCGGCGCTTGTGTAATCAAAGGTGCCTCCAATTTGAAAAAATTGAGGCACTTTTTTTCTTAGAAGCGCCTCTGATTTCAACATTTTAAAAATATATCGAGGCGCTTTTTCCTCAAAAGCGCCTCCAATTGTAAGATTTTTTTAATATTTTCTAGTTTGAAATTGCCTATTTAATATTAAAAATAAACAATCAACCACAAAATTGTGGCGAACAATATCAAATCGTTTATTAAACAATCATTTAAATGGAACAAAACTAGTAAGAAATGTTAACTCGATTTCAATGGTACTTGAAATACAATAAAATTTGCTCAAGTTTACATATTTAATACTACATCTAAAAGTTTACACTA